GTGGCCGTGCCTGTGACAACAAAACAATGGAGATGGCCAGACCACCTCTCGGTGCAGGTAAATACAGTGACTATGGGGAAATACACACAGCTGCCAGAAGAATGAGGGGCTCCCTGAATATACTTCCATGGTAATGTCTCAAGATAATATCACTGAGCAGGGAAAACGCCACAGAAAAAAGTATACGGTATAAGCGTGTTTAAAAATAAAACTGTATGTTTGTGAATGTACAACATGCACACCCACATGTACGTAAACATATACGCATATACGAGGGTCTGAACACATCTCATCCTAAAGGGATCACAGGTGTGATGGGGAGTGGCAGGCAGACAGTGAGAGGGGAGACGTCCAGTTTTATTCCAATTCATGTATCACCTGCATCTTTTCCAATGAGAATCTATTATTTCATATTAAAAAAAAAAGGCAACAACAACAAAAAAGCGCCTTTTCCGTTTAGACAATGTACTTATCAACACACGATGCATTATATTATATTGATCTGCATCTGAAAAGCATTCTGTTAGGCTTTCATTTTAAAAACACTGTAAGAATGTGAAAGTATATCCCAAACTTCTGCAGGATGAATTGAAAGAATTAGGTCATAACTGAAAACAGATTGTTAAACAAATTTTTGATGCTGTGCAATATTTCATTGTACCAGCAATCGTAAATTAAACAAAACATGATGAGGCATTTAAAAAGACATTTGAAAACCCATAATGGTTTTAATTGTCATTAACCTAAAACGGCAATGTTTACTTAAAACCCCCAGATAATGTTTTACACCTTCCTCTAGGGCTCTTAGGAAAAGAACGGCTGGGATACACTCACAGGCCAGGATAGCACCCAGCCCTGGATGTGGCCTTGTTCCTTGCGGGGTTCTGCCAAGTAGGGAATGTTGGGAAATGCCAGTACTCGGAGGAAAACTGACGGGATGCCAAGAGAACAACAGCAGCTGGGAGCCTCTCTGATAAGGGGATGGGGGGAGGCCCTTCCCTGGAGGTACTGACACCAGCTGGGACCTGGGATCCTTTGCTACAGTGCTTGCACCTGGACAAACGTCTCTTTGAGCAACAAAATATAAAGAAACTATATGGGACTAAAAATAACTGCGTGCATGTGCAGCTGGGGCAAATTCTGGACAACAAGATACAAAGAGACCAGGAAGCCCAATTGTCACTTCTGAAGGGACAGGCGCAAAAGCCCATGTAAGGAGCCAGTTCACCAGCCTCTCAGGGAGCGAGTTACCCATGGAACTTATTACTTGTTCTCCCTTCCCCTGCTGCAGCAGGGGCCCCAATAAAGCTTGCCTAAATTCCTTGTCTGGCCTCTGATCGATTTTGATTAAGGACGCCAAGAACCCTGGTCAATAACTGTACCACCTACTCTGGAATCCCACAGCAGGAGCAAAAGCCACTCAGTATTTGTTGAGTTATGAATGTGCACAAAGGGTCATCTTCTCTGCCATGTTTATTTTAGCAAAAGACTAGAAACATCCCTAACTGATCCTTCATTAAGTGGTGGTTAAACAAATTATCATCCATCCATCCATCCGTCTGTCTGTCCATCTATCCATCCATCCATCCAACCGTCCATCCGTCCATCTACCCAGGGCTCTCTATTTAACAGCTGGAAAGGGCTCCAAGGGCTGATGTACAAATGTCACCAAGCCACAGGGTTGGCTGGCAAAAGGGATGTGAATAACGGTAGGCAGAAGAGACATGTGTGTAAGAATGGTAACAACACTAATATGCACAGAAAATATCTGGCTACCAAAAGCTTTCTGAAGGGGATGCTAGGAGTGTGGAATTGAAAGAGACCTCATAATGATAATAATTTATATATAATAAATTATTATGTATAATAAAAATCAGTTAACTTTTAATTATGCAGAGGAAAAAGACACACAGATATGGAAATGTACTAGATACACTAAAGAAAAACAAAAACTGCACTGAAGGATTTATAAAAATAATTTGGATAAAGCCAAGCATGCACAACGTGCCTGAAAGGGAAAACAGGATGCTGTCAACATGTCCATTCTCCACCAAATTAATCTACAATTTTAATATGATTCCCATTGAAATTTCAAATTGATTCCTTTGAGTCTTGAAAAAAAAAATTTCAAAACTCATCTGGAAGACTAAACTTCTAAAAACAGGCAAGAACTTTTTTAAGAAGTAGATTCAAGTCTGGGATGGGGGTGGGGTAGGGCTTGCCCTACCAGTTATAAAAATATAGAGTTAAGGTAATATAAGTGGTGCTGTTCTGTGTATAGCACAGGGGATATAGCCAACGTTTTATAATAACTGCAAATGGAGTATAATCTGTAAAAACATTGAATCATTATGTTGTATAGCTGAAACTAATATAATACTGTAAATCAACTACACTTCAATTTCTTAAAAAAAGGTAGTATTGTTCTGGAATATGAATAAACAGACATGGGAATGGGACAGAATGAAAAGTCCAGAGATAGGCAAATAGTCACATCTGTATGTGTGTGTGCATACCTATGATAATGCGGTGAGAGTAGATACCGGCTCTCTTATTTTATTTTATTTTTTTGCGGTACGCGGGTCTCTCACTGCTGTGGCCTCTCCCGTTGCGGAGCACAGGCTCCGGACGCGCAGGCTCAGCGGCCATGGCTCACGGGCCCAGCCGCTCCGCGGCATGTGGGATCTTCCCAGACCGGGGCACGAACCCGTGTCCCCTGCATCGGCAGGCAGACTCTCAACCACTGCGCCACCAGGGAAGCCCCCGGCTCTCTTTTTGACTATCCAGCATACATTCCTGCCTTCCTTCCCTCAACCCTTCCTAACACTACCTTAGTTTGGAGGATTATCTCTTGGATTCCACTGGTGGGACAGCTAAGCAGATTTTTTCTTACCCTGGCCAATCAAAATGCTCCCGCCCTGGACTCTGACTCTAGGACCAACGGACAAAGAGGTTAAGAACCACGGGAACTGTTCACTCCTGCAGAACTGCATCCTGAGGAATTCAGGGTTCCCCCTGCAGACGCCCACTCTGGGTCAGGCTTTTGCAGCCACAGAAGCTCTTTTGGAACCAGCCAGTTTCCAGGCTTAATCTCTAACCCCTTGGATATTCAATAGGTCCCACCATCTCTCTAATAAATGGCCTTTGACTTTGTCAGTTTTTGTAACTTGCTACCAAAGGACTCAATGTTCAGGTGGCATTTCATATCATCAGGGAAATATTAGGTTACTCGGGTAATAGTTTTAGGAAAGCTAGCTACCCATTTTAGAGGAAAAGGTTAAATTCATCAAATAAATTCAAGGATATTAAAGAGTTAATTATAAAAAAAAAAAAAGCACACCAGGGGAAATTATTGGGGTAACATGATCTTAGGAAGGAAAAGGTCTTTTTATTGTTTCCAAGGTAAGACTACGAAGGAAAACTTTAACAGCTTTGAATACACAAAAATTAAAAATTTTTCTATGTGAAAAATAAAGGGCAAATAACAATCCAGAAATATATCTGACCATATAAGCTGCAGGACTCAAAACCATAATATACAAAGAGCTGTTAAATCTAAAAATGGGTAAAGGTCCCAGTCAAATCACAGAAGAAAAAGAAATATAAATGGTGCATATATAAATATATAAAATATATAAATAAAAAATTGCATATAATTATATATAATTACATCTTTTGCATCCTTTCATGCAGCATACAGTATAGGGAAACAGGGTCTGAGATTAATACCAGGAGAAGTCAACCTTTCAAGACTGGGCATTTGCCTTTCTTTTGGATCTGGACCTCCAGGCACTTTCACTTCTTGTCACCCCAGTCACTCTGTCTCGGAAAATTGGAATCAGAGAAAAAAATGGCTAATCCTGTGCAGGGTGCCAGATTTTACCATATTCACCACATTTAGTACTTAGGAAAAGAGAGGCTACCAAGTTACGAACAGAAGTTAGCAAGTCGCCCTTTCTGTTGGTGATGGGGCTCCAGGTTGTGTCAGTTCTTGGTAGTCCTGGGGAAATACTGCACTACAGCGAGGATACTCTGTGTATATCATATTGGGATGAAATATGATCAGTGTGAGCTCGCCCACACTGAACAGAAAATAACAAGACTAAGCTCTCAGTTTTGGGGACTCAGTAGGTGTTTCAGCACTCATCACCTTACACTAGACTTGCTGGCCTTGCTAGATGAGGAATGTAAAGGGCAGCAGCTCCCCTTTGAACCCGATGGCATGGCTACAAGAAACGTAGGCACTGCCCTGCTACAGAAAAGCTTCAGGTAGTTCAGCATAGCCCCTGACCTCTCAGAAATCATGGCCACAGGTTGGCAAGTACATGGGCAGCTATGAGGGGCATGGCTCTAAAGGTAGCCTTGTGCCTTCTCTAAGTTAAAGAAACAAACACCAGCACCCCCATACCCAGCAGCCAGGGTCACATCAGGGGTCACACTGCACCTGTACTGAACGTCATGGGACACACTCTGATTTCTGCACCAGCCACACGCATATGTTACCGAAGCAGGAGCCAAGTTATGATAAGGAATGATGGTTACATTCAACAAACCAAAATGACCCCCTACCATGTCCATAGCACACCATCTACGGTTTTCCTAGATTGAAAAGACAGTTCTCTTTTTTAACTGAAAAATAAGAACTAAATTGTTTGGATGCACTCATTATCAAGCTTGTATGTATCTCGGCACTTAAAATCGACTTACAAAATTGATTTTTAAAAATTCAGTGGAGACAAAAATCAATGCAACAAATATTAAAATAAAATTGTTACTAAAGACATTTTAAAATAGCATTACACTAATATACTATTAGTAACTGACTTATGAGTAGAACCAGTTTTAATTTGGGAGAATTTTAAAAAGTGAATCAACGTTAATTCCTTAACACTAAAACATCAGAATAAATCCAAGGATACAATAAAATTATTTTTGAAATCACTTTCATTCAAAATCAAAGCCTAGGCCCTTTATCAAAAGGTCTGCATTTCATTACTCACCAACTGACAGCCTTCTAGGGAGTTGACTAGCTGAGCGTTCTGACAGGAGAGAATTGAACCAGCCAAATTCAGCATTACACATACTGCAGAGAGCAGCATGAAAAAGGTAATCTGGAAACAAACCAAACAAGAAATTGATTATTCACTTGGAGAGACTCGAAGGAAAAATTATTTGGCTTTCAAAAAGCTTTCAGATGATCCAGTAATTATATGAATAACATTTCTATGTTTTCAAGGAAAGTATTATTAAAATTTCAAATTCATATTACCTTAAATCAAATAAAAAAGGTAAAGTCTCTGAAAAGCCATAGCCAGCAACCATGATTTTATTTGAAATATACTATAAAATATTTTAGAAGCTAAACTTGAAAATACTATGCATTCTACAGTCTCAAAAGTGTTATACAGTCTCAGAAATAACAAGTAATAAATTACTAAAAAGAAATCAAGTGAAAGATGTTTATTTATTAGAATGTCTGTAAGTTTATTTCTTTTAATTTTTTTTTTTTTTAACATCTTTATTGGGGTATAATTGCTTTACAATGGTGTGTTAGTTTCTGCTTTATAACAAAGTGAATCAGTCATACATAAACATATGTTCCCATATGTCTTCCCTGTTGCGTCTCCCTCCCTCCCACCCTCCCCATCCCACCCCTCTCTTTTAATTTTTGTTATGGAAAATTTCATACATATGCAAAACCAGAGAAAACAGTATAACGCCCCGCATACCCATCTCCCAGCCTGTAAATGTACTCCATATTTATTGAAAAAAATCTTCATGTAAGTGGACCATGCAGTTCAAACCTGTGTTGTTCAAGGGTCAACTGTATATATTATTCATATATTAAACATTATATTGTATTAACTAGACAATGGCACAATAGCCACAAACTCTTGACACCTCTGGGAAGGGTGAAAAGATACAAGGGCTTGATCTGGTCTGTAATGTTTTCCACTTTAAAATTTGAAACAAAATGGAAATCTACTGATGGTAAATTATTAACATCTCTACAAGAAAAGTGTGGGGAAAACATGTGCCTCAGATATAACTGACACTGCATAGTGCATAATGATATTTTCTGCCCCATACAGATGAAAATCCCAGCATTAGAACACCCCAGAGGGGAAAGCGGTCATTGAGTAAGCAGAATGCTTAGCCAGGAGGTAATTCATACACTGAAATAAATGCAAACCAAGAAATGCCTTTAAGGACCAACTATATTCACTGATAAAATAAATGCAAATTCCAGTTCAACAGAATAAAGTAAAACCCAGTCATCTAACCCATTGCTCCACACCACCACATACCCACCAGATTCTTCTAGATGACTCTAGTCCAGGGTTGATCAATCCACATTTTTCTTTTTTTAAGTATTTACCTCATTTCATGATTAATTTGCAGTACCTTCCCCCCAAACAATCATACTTATTCACCTGCTGAATAATTAACAGTTGAACTTCTGTATATAAACAGCATTTTGCCAGAGGCTATGGAGAAATACAATGAAAGGCCACTATACCAGCTTTTCTTCAGGCTCATTTAATCCATACAACTAACTATGATATAATTATTGTTGTTCCCATTTTACACATAAAGAAATTGAGATTAAGGGAGCTTAAAACCTATGCCAAATCACCATGTTGCCATAGCATGAGCCGTAATTTGAATTCAGTCTATCAGACAACCTCGAAACCCCATATGCTATTCACTACACTACAGAGACCTCTCCAACCTGGGGTAGATCTTACTTTCTGCTCTTACTGTTTACATGGGCTCTACTCACCATAAACCATGAGTTATGTTTTTCCATAAAACCATACAACAGAGTCAGACTAGAATAGTCATATTTTTGAACCAGTAATTCCAATTCGAGGAATGATTTAGAACAAGATAATGAAAGAAAACCTTTAAAAATTTTTTTTAACTGCTCCAGACCAAGAATAAACAAATTTTAAGGAACAAAGTAACAAGTAAAATCCCCCACAGCCCCGGACTGTGCCAAGATCTCTAGGTATACTTCCCTATCTGATTATCACACTACCACACACGACAACATGCATCATCAACCCATTTTACAGGTGAGGAAAGGTCTGTATACAACCTAACCTGCTTAAATTCCTACAGCCAGTTATGCAGAGGGAGGCTCTGATCCCACGTAGTCTGATTCTCAAGTAGGTATGGTTAATCATTAACACTTTTCTGTGACCCACAGAAAGAAATATATTTTACATCATGATCCAATATGCACACACACATAAAAATAGAGCAACTTCCACAAAACACTATTTACCTGAATGATACGTGGTAAAAATTTTCTTTTTTTGTTAAGATGCTGTTTTTCAGTAATGAAATCTTCTCATGACTTACGGTTAAAATAAGTGCACAATGCTTACTTGCTTCAAAAATACAGTGTTTATTATAACTATAGTAAAAAAACCAAAAAAAACAAAACACACAAAAAAAAACCCCAGAAAAAAAAGGAACTAAATGGTCAGCCACACAAAAACTTATCTGGAAAAAATACAATGCATACATTGCTTAGAATGACTCATAACACTTACACACATGGGAAATATGTTTTTAAAATGGCTATGCTAAGATAAATAGAGATATAGGCAGTTACATTTTAGTTTTCAATTTATAGACTTTTATTTTTCCTTACAGAGTTGAGTAGTCCAGAGGCCAGACAAGAGCCACTTCGTTTTATTTCCCTGGTATGAAAGCAACTTACTGACGTGTTCTTTCTTTTAAATGTCTATTTCCATAACATGGTACAAAACTTTCCAATTCGCTTTATAAAGCTAGCAAGATTTTTATACCAATAAAAAAAATACAGACAGTAAGACAAACCAAAACAAATCATCCCCTAATATTTTTATAAATGAAAATTCGGAACCAAAGTGACTTATAATATCACAAGAAGAAAAGATTGCAAACACATCCTAAAACTATTACACACATTTAAGGGTTACAGCAAGATGCTCCCTCCCACCCCCAGCCCTTCCCCAGGGTCTCTCCGAGTCTGTCTCAGGTTTCAAGAGGAAGGGGCTGGGGTTGGGGCCGTGCCCCCGGTCTGGGGTCTGGCCCTGGCCTCCTCCTCCGCCAAAGCCTCACAGTACTGCGCCGGCCAGTCCTTGGGATCCTGATTGTGGACTTTGGCCACGAACTTGAGCACCTTCATCTTGCTGGTCTCCAGGTTGGTGCGCGGGCCCCACTGGAGCTCGTAGTCCACGGGGTCCGTGTGCGGGATGCGCCGGTACTCCAAGTACCGCTGCCGCACGAAGTCCTCGGTGATGAGCTTCTTCGGGTCCCCGAAGATGAGGTGCTTCTTGGTGGGGTGCACCCCGAGGCGCCGCAGGAAGTCCCAGACCTCGGTCTCCTTGATGCTGTTGCCCTTCATGAAGATAAGCCCCAGCACGATCATAAGCAGCCCGGTGGTGGGAGTGCCCTGGTCGCCGCGCATCTCCGCGTCCTCCTCCACCGGCTCCAGCGTGTTGACCAGGATGTAGGTGTTACTCCGGGGCTCCAGCTCCACCAGCCGGTACCCAAACACGTACTCCAGGCGCTCGGCCGCCCGCCGCAGCAGCTCCGGGAGCACGTCCTTGTAGTCCCCGACCACGTGCCGCAGGATGTCGGTACGACGGATCGGGATCTTCCTCTGGTCCTTGATCAGCAGGAACTGCACCAGCTCCGCCACCTTCAGCTCCAGCTGCTTCTGCGACCGCGGCCCCGGCGCGGGGGGAGCCTCGGCTCGCCGGCCGCCCTGCGACGCGGCGCCGCCCGGCCCGCGGGACGTGCTCGGGGCCTCCTCGCCGCCGCTGCCCTGCTCGGCCTGGGTGCCGGCGCGGCCCCGGCTCTTCGGCTTTTGCGACATGTCGCGGCGGCGGGTCCCGCGCTACGCGGACACCCCGTAACTAGCGGCTGAGGGGATGAGGGTCTGCGCGTAGCTCCTCCTGGCGGCCCTGGGCGGGGCCGGAGAGGGCGCGGTTGCGTCACAGAGGCTGCGCGCTGCGTCAGGGGGCTGCGCGCTACGTCATCGAGGCCGCGCCGTGTCTGGGGGTCGGTCTGGTTCGGCTGGCGGTTGCGCGGTGGCGGCGTCTCCGCGCAACCCTGCGGGTCCCAGCCGTGTGTTTTATTAGAATTAAGTGTCGTCCTTACGAAACCCTGAAGATAGAGAACAGGAAGCAAAGGTCCTGAGCGAGTGTGCGGCTCAGCTCAGGACCGCACAGCTCAGGCCAGATCCGTAGAAAGTATCGAGAGCTCTGAAATCGGGACTGTTTGTAGGTGGAGGAGACTCCCAGGAAGAACGTGGGAGAAAGATAAGGCTAAGAGCGTGGAAGGGAAGTAAAAGCATTTCTTTCCCCACAAAACTGGGCATAAAAAGGATAAAAGACCCTGAGGACTAGTTTGCCGTCGCCAGCCGCCCCCCCCCCCCAACCATTTCCTACCAGTAACTTTCTCTAAAGCCCCTGAGTCTGTTTAGAAAGAATGGTAAAGGCAGCCTTGCCTCGCAAGCAGGGCTTTCCCCATCTTTTCACCATTTTAGCATTGATACTCTGTGCATAATAAACTCCAGCCGGACAGCTGCGTCAAAGCCATCCCAGAAAGCACATTTTAGTTAGGTCCGGTGAGTTTATCTTTTGGAAAGCACATGCTCATGGAAATTGCCTGGGCCCACACCGCAATTTTTGCAGAAATGGCTAAGAGAACGCTACCAACAGAGAAACGTGCTCTCTCAAGAGATTACCGTTTAATTTTGGGCATCCCTGATCAAGAATTGCAATCATGTGAATCTCTTAAATGTCTTAATATATCAGCCTTAGGACTCAATAAGAAAGAAATGAAAAAGAAAAGAGAACCCAAGGTTATCATCCCTCATAATCTGTGACATGCACTTTATATAAATATATACATTTTTAAATTGTGCAACTCTAATAGCCAATGTGAGTCATTCCATTAACTCATACCATTTGCAGTCTGCTGCCATTACTTCCACAGAGCTCAGCAAATGTGTTCCTTTTGTATTAACTTACTTGTAAAGAAGAAACTGAATTTACCTCTCTTTTTTTTAAAAATATATTTTATTTACTTATTTTTGGCTACATTGGGTCTTCAATGTGGTGAGCGGGCTTTCTCTAGTTGTGGTGAGAGGAGGCCACTCTTCATTGTGGTGTGCATGCTTCTCACTGCGGTGGCTTCTCGTTGCACAGCACGGGCTCTAGGCACATGGGCTCCAGTAGTTGTGGCACGTGGGCTCATTAGTTGTGGTGCACGGGCTTAGTTGCTCCACGGCATGTGGGATCTTCCCGAACCAGGGCTCAAACCCGTGTCCCCTGCATTGGCAGGCGGATTCTTAACCACTGCGCCACCAGGGAAGCCCCCTCATTGTAGTTCTGATTTGCATTTCTCTGATAATTAGTGATGTTAAGCATCTTTTCATGTGCCTCTTGGCCATCTGTATGTCTTCTTTGGAGAAATGTCTATTTAGGTCTTCTGTCCATTTTTTGATTGGGTTGTTTGTTTTTTTTTTATACTGAGCTGCATGAGCTGTTTGCATATTTTGGAGATTAATCCTTTGTCCATTGATTCGTTTGCAATTATTTTCTCCCATTCTGAGGGTTGCCTTTTCGTCTTATTTATGGTTTCTTTTGCTGTGCAGAACTTTTAAGTTTCATTAGGTACCATTTGTTTGTTTTTATTTCCATTACTCTAGAAGGTGGATCAAAAAAGATCTTGCTGTGATTTACATCAAGGAGTGTTTTTCCTATGTTTTCCTCTAAGAGTTTTATAGTGTCCGGTCTTACATTTAGGTCTTTTAGTCCATTTTTAGTTTATTTTTGTGTATGGTGTTAGGGAGTGTTCTAATTTCATTCTTTCACATGTAGCTGTCCAGTTTTCCCAGCACCACTTATGATGAGACTCTCTTTTCTCCATTGTATATTCTTGTCTCCTTTGTCATAGATTAGTTGACCATAGGTGCATGGGTTTATCTCTGGGCTTTCCATCCTATTCCATTGATCTATGTTTCTGTTTTTGTGCCAGTTCCATACTGTCTTGACTACTGTAGCTTTGTAGTATAGTCTGAAGTCAGGGAGCCTGATTCCTCCAGCTCCATTTTTTTTCTCAAGATCACTTTGGCTAATTGGGGTCTTTTTCTCCATACAAATTTACACATCCAACATATTAGGACAGCAAAACAAACAAAACTGAGCTAAACTAAGCAAGTGCTGGGGAGGATACAGAACAACTGCTAGTGGGATGTAAACGTCACTCACATAAACAGTTTGGCAACATCTTACAAAGTTAAAGCTACATTTACATCTGACCCAGCAACCCTACTCCAAGGTATTTCACTGAAAAAAATAAAAATTTACATCCATACAAAAACATACACACAAGTGTCTATAGGAGCTTTATTCATAATCACCAAAAGTGGAAATAAAGCAGTATTTTAATGGGTTAAGAGATAAAGCAGCTGTGTTACATCCATACAAATGAATAGCACCCAGCAATAAAAAGGAACACAATTACTTATAGGTACAACAGCATGGCTGAGTCAAATGCATCATGCTAAACTCATGAAGCCAGTCTTAAGAGAGTACGTTTTGCATGAGTCCATGTAGATGACCTTCTGGAAGAGGAAAAACTACAAGAATGGAGAACAGATCATTTGTTTCCAAGGATTAGCAGTGGGGTCAAAGACTTGACCATTGCAATGTGATGATCACGGGGCCCAGGAACAAGTGTCAGGACTGCCAGGCAGTGTGGCGGGTACGCTGTGGGCTGCTGTCACAACCAGGGCCAGTGATCCTTTGGGACGGGAAGTGGTACCCAGCCTGGGGCAAGTGGGGTGGGTACAGGCCAATCGTGGGAGGCCCAGTGCTCAGGGAGCCTAAGCATTCAGTGGAGGGAGTAAACTGGAGTCGGGGTGACCCAGAAAATCTCCAGGACTACAGCAATCCTTGCTGATGGAAGCTGGGGACACAGCACGTGGCGCTTTCCAAATACAGGGGCTTAGGGCATGAGCTTGCTCACTTGAATATTAAAGGAAATGGTGATCCTGTATGGCTGGAAGACTTAAGACACCAAGATAGTCACATTTACCGAGAAGAAAGAGGTATCTTATTTCAAGGGAAAAGCTAAATATAACCAGTGTAGAAGACCATGTGACAATGTCTTCTTAATTAACTTTTAGAATTCAGCACATTTCTAAAAAGATAGACTTTTCTTTCTGATCACACTAAGCCAATTTTTAATACTTGTCTGATATTTTTTTCCCAAGAGGAAGTTCTATCAAAGGACCTGAGACCGACAGAAAAGAAATTGGCAAATATTCTTTTTTATTTTTAAGTTCATTTGCCAAGAACCCAGCTGTTTAAAGCAGTAGTTCTCTCTAGCTTTCTGTAACTAAATGAGAACATTAAATTTCAAATGTATCTCTCTCCTAAAGCCATACAGGGTACCCTATCCTTTCTTTTATACAAAAAATATAGGATGATTACTTGCTCAGATAGAATGAAAATTTGAACAGCCACCTTGTAAAAATTAATAATATATGATTTTCAGCTAACATATAAAAATACTCAAAGTTGAATAAAATAAAAGTCAAGGGACTTCCCTGGTGGTCCAGTGGGTAAGACTCCACGCTCCCAATGCAGGGGGGCCCAGGTTCGATCCCTGGTCGGGGAATTAAATCTCACATGCATGCTACAACTAAGACGTGGTGCAGCCTAAATAAATAAATAAATACTTAAATAAATACATAAAATTTTTTTTAAAAAGAAAATACTTATAAAAACAAGTCAAATAAAATACTTGAATATTTAAATAATCTGAACATACTGATCACTCCCATTACCTTTATCATAAATATCACTTGACAGTGAAAAATTAATATTAATAAGCGGGGTGGTTTGTAGATGAGACATTTAGACACAGATCCTTCCCACTGGTGTTTATAATCCAGCTTTGGTTGAAATATAAATATAGCAAAAAAACATAAAAGGAAGAAATCATATTCAGGGAGAAAACAACGTCCCTATTGCTATAGACTGAACTGTGTCCTCCCAAAATTCTTATGTTGAAGTTCTAACCCCCAATGTGACTGCATCTGAAGATAGGGCTTTCAGGAGGTAAATTAAGGGTAGATGAGTCATAGGGTGAGGTCCTAACCTGGTAGGATTTGTGGCCTTTACACAGAGGGGAAGAGCAAGAGAGTATGGCCTCTCCACGGGCACCCAAGGACAGGCCATGTGGTGACTCGGCCAGAAAGCAGCAAGTCAGGAAGCGGGCTCTCGCCAGAACCTGACCAGAACTTTGAGACAATCCACATCTGTTGTTAAGCCACCCCGTCTGTGGTGTTTTGCCATGGTCGCCCCAGCTCACCAAGACATCTACTAAGGAGTTTTTATTTATCCTATTTTAGAATAATACGTTTGGTTAAATGTCAACTAATGAGTGATAATGTTTTTACATATTTCTGTGACTTTTCTGGGAGACAAACAGTTGAAAATTATGTAAGTTTCTTTCCCCAAGATCCCTGTCTACAGATCACTTCTTTTATACACACTGTAACCTCAACAATTACCACCACCACCCCGAACAAAAATTTGGACCCTCTGATGCTTGTTTAAACACGGGGTGACTTGTTTTGACACTTTTTCTAAACTCACTCCTGGTAAAGGCTGGTCACAGACAAAGCAGAGAACTCTTCAAGTCTCAGCCTCAAAAGCTCAGTGACATTACCTCAGGCAGGTCAGTGTCACTCAAAAAGCATGGTCTGGGGGCCCAGCTGCCACCCCTCGCCCACTGGCTGACCCAGTGGGATCACCTCCTTTCTCTCTGACCCCGTGTCCTCTTCAATAACATGGGGATCAGAGCTTTCCTGGGGTCAGTGGGAAGGTGAAAGACACAAACATAAAGCGCCTGGGGCAGTTCCTGGCACAGAGTAGAAAGCGATTTCTAGAATGATTGACAGTGTTACAATAGCAGAAAATGCACTCGGAGAGTAGTCATGGATTCGAGCCTGGTTCCCAGAGTAATTTCTTTAAAGAATGTCTTCAGCTCTTGTCTCCCAAAGCCTGCTCACATGTTGTGGGACTGTCAACACCGTCACGGTAATTGCCGCCATGGCCCGAGGTCCCCTCCCGCCCTTCCTCACATAGGTAGCATCACACAAAGAGCACAGGCTCCAGACCAGGACTCTCTGGGTCCAAACCTCTGTGCCTCAGTTGACTCACCAATAAAAGCTGTTTGATAGGAATGCCTATCACACAGGATAACGTGAAGAGTTTAAAATGGTACCCATTGAGCCCTCTGTATAGCCTGGTACAGGGGGTCCTCTGTGGATGTCCACATGGCCTCTGCGGGTGACCGAGGTGCAAGGCCCCCCCCACCACGCTCCGGTTCCCTCCCAGGTCTGCTCCGTGGAATGCAGGCCCACAAGCCCCAGCTCCTCGTGAAACCTACAGGGCAGACGGCTCAAGAGATCAACCAAAAAAGGAAGACAGAGGCACAGCGTTCTCTCTGAACTGAGAGGGGCCTTGGGGACAGAAATAAGTGGCAAAACAGGAGGTCCCAAAGGCTCCTGACTCCTGCCCTGCCCTCATCTTCCAAGGTAGCCGTGAGACAGAAGGCAAGCTGGCAGCGTCCTGAGAATTCTCACCTGCAAGTCACTCTAGGGAAATCCCTTTGGAATAGAGGCTCATATCGTGCATGTATGAGCTCCACAAAGGAAGAAGGGCCAGGATGGAGCGCCGGGCCAGTGGTTGTGGGGTGGGACCTGCCCGGCTTGGCCAAGGGGACAGTACTTGAGTTTCTGGGAGGAAAATAAGACCCCGGGGCCTTCGCAGCGGCGGCCTCGGTGTTTTGGTCTCCCCACCCTCTCCTGGGGGTAGAAACCAGGCTGCTGGAGGGCCACAAACTTGTCAGCATGCAGGAGCCCAGGAGCACAGGCCAGAGCATTGCGACAGAGTGCTGCCAGGTGCGCCTGCAACAGATACGCTCCCGCGACAGCACAGGTAAACACACAGGACCAGAAAAACTGCGAAACAGCCAGACAACTGACCAGAAAACAGACACCAAGAAACGTAAGCTCCCAGAGCACCACACGGAACCCCAGATCCTAATCAGAACATCAATCCAACACCGGGAGGACTGGAGCTGATACACGGGGAGACAAGAGTCAGAACTGAGGAAGCCAATTACAGGGTGAGAATCAGACCCGCACCGTCATCACACAGCTAATAAACAACTTGGAAAGTGAGGAACCGAGCAGATGTGAGTGACAATCTCAGTAACACTGGGGGCAAAGTGTGAGATCGCCACCTTAACTGTGTGGAGGAAGAAAGAGAGAGGTGATCAAACAACGAACAGGGTCTGGGGGGCACTGGCAGTGTTCTCCCTTCACTCTAGAAACTAGCGTGTCTTCTTGGGAAGGAGAACCAACCTCAAGTTTAGAAGTAACTTTGGTCTCACATCAGTGCTGCTTCTGTTAATTTCAAATAAAAACAACTGTTTAAAACCTAGACAGTGTCATTCCCTAGTAGCTTCTGTCTTTTACCAGCATATGCATCCAGGGATTTCTCAATTTATAGACACTGAATAGGAAAGACTGACCATTTCTGGGTGGTATCAATACAACTCTGTTTATTGCTTTTGCTGTTGTCCTTAGTTTATTAGAAATGTGCATGGGTTTAATATTTTTTAATGTCATCATTAATGTAAAAGGAAGACAATCCACTCAACGTTCCTTCGATAAACATATCTGTTGAACACTGTAAAGCTGTGAGCCAGACGAAGAGCTCGCCCAGCTGCAGGTAAGATCAGGGAAGCTGGCAGATTCGGGAAGACAGAGGCTAATCCAAATGCAATTCATTCTGGAAATGCAAGCGCGATTTAACATTAGGAAATACAGTCCATCACACGCGTAGAGCTGAGGAGAAAAATAACACGAGCATCTCAGGGATGCAGAAAAGGTATGCGATTCAGCATCTGTTCATACGAAAAACACTCAATAAAATAGGAATTGAGGGAAAGGATGAGTCTATCCCAACATGATAGAAGATATATGTACATTTACAACATAAACCTCAGCTCGAAAACCAGCATCTTAATGAACACAGGAGAACGTGAGGCTTTTCTGCTCAAGTCTGCAGCAAGACAAGGGCACCCTCCATGTCCATGACTCTTCAGCACCGAGTTCGAGGGATTCACCCATTATTTAGACAAGAGAAATAAACTGAAGGCATAAAGATTGAGAAAGAAGAGGTTAAATTATCCTCATTTGTAGCTCATGTGCTTATACATGTGGAAAGTCACGAGTCCTTGTGCCAAACAAGCACACGCACACACAAAACAGGAAGAAAACTTAGTTTTAAAAAACAGGTTGTAAAATAAATACACAAAATCAATAATGTTCATTCACACCAAAGACAGCAGTTGGAACACATAGCTGAAGACCACATTTACAATAGCAAAATAGGTAAATAAGTACTATCACTGGAGACTTGACAAGAAATGTCTAAAGTCTGTATAAACAAAACTGTGAAACACTCAGGAAGAAAAAGTAAGTTTGAATAAGTGGAAAGATATGCCATGTTCCTGCACAAGAAGATTCAACATCACATAGATGTCGATTCTCTCAAAGTTAATCTACAAATTCAATATCGTATCAATTTAAAAATCACATCATTGTTTCCTAAAGCCAGGCAAATTGATTATACAGTTCATTTAGCAGAACAACCAAGCCAGAATTGCTAATGAAACCTTAGCAAAGCAGAACAACAAGGAAGGCTAACCATACCAGATACTATAGTGTATTATAAAACCTCTATTATCAAAACAGCATAGTGATGGTGTATGGATTCACAGACCAATGGAAGAGAATCTAAATATCCAGAAATAGACCCTTTGTCTATGGAAATCTAGTATATGATAAAGTTGCCATTTAAAATCACTGGGGGAGGACTTCCCTGGTGGCTCAGTGGTTAAGAATCTGCCTGCCAATGCAGGGGACACAGGTTTGAGCCTGGGTCTGGGAAGATCCCACATGCCGCGGAGCAACTAAGCCTGTGCGCCACAACTACTAAGCCTACGTGCCACAACTACTGAAGCCCGCGTGCCTAGAGCCCAGGCTCCCCAACAAGAGAAGCCACCACAATGAGAAGCCCGCACACCGCAAGAAGAGTAGACCCTGTTCGCCCCAATTAGAGAAAGCCCATGAGCAGCAACGCAGACCCAGCACAGCCAAAAATAAATAAATAAAATTTTTTTAAAATAAAAAGAATTGTTTAAAAAAAATCACTGGGGGAAAAACGGACTTTTTAATAAGTGGTATTGATATAACCAGGTAGCCACATAGAAAAAGAAAAATATACATCCGTTTTGCACAAATTATATCAGGATTAATTCCAAATAGGTCAGAAACTTGAGAGAGGGAGAGATCCCATTTAATATTAGAAGAGAACAAAGAGTTCTTCCCTCTATGACCTACAAATTGAGAAACTGCACTATTACTCACACTCCAAAGCAACAGAGAAAAGACTGATACATTTAGCTACATAAAATAAAAATCTTTACATGTCAAAACCCCACCGGAAGTAAATAAAAAAGACAAATGATACATTAGGGAGTAGGGTGTAACTTGCATCACAGACAAAAGCATAACAGCCCTCCGTATAAAGAGGACAATGCAGCTGTAAGAAGGATAGGAAATATCTCTGTACAGAGACCAACCCCCAGGATATACCTTAAGTTACAAACCGAGGACCAGGACAGTAGGGCAGTGCGTGTAGCACGCACATATACAGGCAGTGTGCGGAGAGTGCACATGCTCGCTTATCATTTTTAAATGAAAGCATAGGGACTTCCCTGGTGGTGCAATGGTTAAGACTCTGAGCTCCCAATGCAGGGGGCCCAGTTCAATCCCTGGTCAGGAAACTAGATCCCACATGCATGCTGCAACTAAGAGTTCACATGCCACAATTAAGGAGCTGGCGAGCCACAACTAAAGGAGCCCGCGAAGCCGCAACTAAGGAGCCCACTTGCTGCAACTAAGAAGCCCACTTGCTGCAACTAAGACCCGGTGCAACCAAATAAATAACATAAATAAATAAATATTTAAAAAAACAACAAAAAAGCGAAAGCATAAAGCCAAAACCTACGAGTGGCTGCTCTGGGGTGGGGGTGAGGGTGGCAGTGGCAGGGGGCAGGGGCATGGAGACATAGAAACAGAATAAACGGGACAGGGATGACAACTAGAATCCTCCAAAAATCCTTTGTTGTACAGATTTGACTCTGTAACAGTAAATCATAAAATGAAATTCAATCAAAACATCTCTAAAATCAGAACAAAATGAAACAGACCAGTATACTGGGTTGGCAGCTTAACTACAGAAAATGGTTTTAAAAAGACCGTAAAATAAGTAATTTCACTGTATCCCTCTAGGAGTGTACATCCTGAGAGATAATCAAGGGATATGTGGGTGCTACAGCCCATCTGGTCCAGCAAGAAAAGATAAGAGAGAGAGATTTAAGTGACATAACAACCAAATACAAAAAGACAGAGGGACACGGACAGATACAGTTAGAGAAATCGGAACATTGCATAGTTGATGATAAAACAAATCACTGGTATTTATTGGGTGTGTTACTGGCATTGCGGCTATTTAATTTTTTTTCAGAGATACATACTTCAGTGTTTTGAATGAAATAATATGATGCTCAGGATTGCTTGAATAATCCAAGGGAGAAATGGTAGGGGATAGTGGGGAAAGAATGGCCAGGAGTTGTTGTAGCCGAGTGATGGGTGCACAAAGGTTCAATGCATATTATATTCTTTACCCATGCATATGTTTGTGCATATTATTAATTATGCCTGTGTCTGTGCATAATTATCCACAATTAAACATTTTTAAAAAAACATGAAAAATGAAGGTTCAGATCTCAGCTCTGCTAGTTAGTCATGTAGCCAAGTTTTTACAATGTCCTATGTTTTGGGAACCACAGTTCCTTCATTTTTAAAGGAGGGCCCTTAAATTGAAGTCAGAAGGCAAATTAACAACATAACCAAGGCCCATCATGGAGAAGAACTGAACTAAGGCTAGTTATTTTTTATATTTATATGAACAAAAAACAAATAAATACATAAGTATAATTCTGCCAAATTACTAAGAACATTTTACTTAACACAAAACCAAAGTAAGATTGCAAATGATGCTTTCAAGGGGAAACAAAGAATTGAGCATTTCGGTTTCATAATTACACAAAATAGCAATGCTATAATAGGACTAAATTGATGCCCAAATGTATCTCTCAATTATTGCCAAACTCAAATACCAGATGCAATGCACTAATTCTGGTAACATCCATAGAACTACATACAGCTATTACCATAAATAATATTAAATTTGTGGGACCACAGATGCTATGCTAAGTCTGATGTGCCTAAAACTTTGCTGACATATTCTGCCCTATTGTTTCATAAAAAACCACAGTAATCAGATTAGGTTAATTATCAAGCCACAGACAAAAGATTCTTCCTTTTAAAATACCCGGGTAAACGGAATAATTTAAAATGAAGAAATATTTTAATAAAAATAGTCAGGGACAGACCTCAAAGCATTACGGAACTAGATCTGTACACTCTTGGGGTTTACATTCAAAGACTCAATCAAATTTAAACTCATCACTTATGCAAAACGGAACACGAATCTCCCATTAAAATTATCATAACTGCTGGCTTGTTAAAACACTCAAGTGTATTACACATACCAGAGGAAAATTCAATATTATATCATTCCAATCATGTTTCTCTTTTAATGCAGAAAACATGGAGTTCGACCATAAAGCAATGGGAGATGCTACAGATTCATGCAAAATTTCCTTTCCTGCTTTCGAGGGCAACCACTCAAGGAGGCAGCAGGTGTCACAGCAGCAAAGTCCAGAACTGCCACACCTGTGACAGGTATGGGATGGCGAGAAGGAGGAGTCCAGCCTGATCCACAGAAAAGACCCGAGGTTGATGTCTGGTGAATAAGGGGGACCAGGCCAGGCGTCCTCCTGTGATGCTGCTGTGGGTGTGGCTTTTTCACCGTGGGAGGGCAAGTAATTTTAAAACCATGTGAACTCACCTCCCAGCTGCCTTCTTTTGAAAACAGGCTCTCGCTGGGTTTATCAATCGCCCACCCAAACCTGGCTCTCACAGTTAGCACATAACTCCTGATTTCAGGTGTAAATTTTCATAGTTTCCAGACAGCTGTTCATACACTGATGGCAAGTTCTCCACACACTTGGAGTAATGATGCCTTCCTGTCAGTTGGCTCAGTGTGAGAGATGCAAACCAGCAAAGATTAGGGGGAAACCAGTGTCTGGATGCTCGCTCCACACCTCTACTATCACACAGCCCTTCCCTCTGCAAAACTGATACCAAGAGAAGCCAATTTGCTAAGAATCACAGGTAAAATTAAAACCTAAAATTTAACCATATGCCCCCTAAAATACCTATTCTATTTTTTGTTAAAGCTATGAAAAATAATTATTCCTCACTTCTACATTCGAGCTGCATCCTCAAACTGAGGGAGAATCCTGCAGGAAGGTGCTAGAGTGTAAGCAGCTTTGGGCAAGAAAGAGCTCTCTGCAGGAGGCCCCTTTGTCTTGTCACCAGCCTTAAACCAGGCACCCCCAGGCTCTACTCATCTCCGGCCCAAGCACACCTTTCAAATCTTGGTAACCTGTCGGTTCTTCCCGTAGATCAAAGACGTAGAAATGAAGAGTAAGTAATTAACCGATGACCAGATCTCTTCCCTAGCTTCCCCTTCAGTAATCACGTGAACAGAACAAACTGTGTGAACAGGATAGCATCACGAGGATTGACAAGCCTGCACACGGTGGGGAGGGTGATGGGTCTGACACCCCCCCCCCCACGTCTACGATTAACTGAGATTACTTCCTTTTTTCCCTTTAAAACTTTCATGGCCAAGCAGAATCTTCGGAGGTGGTTTTGGGGGACACTGAGTCCACCATCTCCCCAGATGGCCAGCGTTCTGATTAAAGACAACTTTCCGTTCTACCAACACCTGCCCCTCTTGAGTATTGACTTTTGAGTGGTGAGCAGCTGGACCTTATTCAGTAACGAGAGAGCTTCTCATTGCTCCCATGGTCACTGAACATATCTGGAAACAGTAAGAGCAGCCTCCTTGCTTTTCCTTTCACATGAATGGGAAGAGGAGGTTGTGTGGGGGGTTTCCACACCCGCAACCAGTTCTCCAACTCTCAGACACCAACTGGGTGTCCAACAACTCCAGTCAATTCTGACACTAACTAACCAGAGTTCGTGCAAGCTCCAGGGTTCAGGGCTCAGCCCCACACCACTGCCCCCACCTCGGAAGTTAGTCCTGAGACCTGGGGCCACCTGTACTTCTGGCTCCAAATCAGGGGTTCCCATAACCCCTGCTGAGGTTCAGTAATTTGCTAGAATGGCTCACAAAACCAGGAAAACAATGCCTACTGCTTTATTATAAAGGATACAACTCAGAACAGCGAAATGGAAGAAACACATGACAAGGTGTGGAGGGCCTTGGTGGGTGGCACAGAGCTTCCATGCCCTCTGTGGGTGCGCCACCCTCCCAACACTGCCACGTGTTGACCAACCCCATTGTTTAGGGTTTTTTTAATGGAGGCATGATTGATTAAGTCACTGGCCACTGGTGACTGAACTCAGTCTCCAACCCCTCTGCTGTCCCAGGAGGCTGGGGTCTGGGGCTGAAAGTTCCAATCCTCTAATAATAGCTTGGTCTTTCTGGGACAGCCCCCATCCTGCAGCTGTTTAGAGGACCCCAGCCAAGAGTCATCTCATTAGCAGACAGAAGTCACTCATCACTCAGGAGACTGGAAAGGTTTTACTCAGTGCCAGGCACAGTGAACAAAGAACAAATGCATATATTTATTATACTGCAAGTTGTTTCAACCCTCAGGTTTCTCCTTAGAGACTAGTGGAGAGAGACTAGTAGAAAATCTGGGCCAAACCCTCCTTCAAAGCACTAACTAGTTTTTTTAAACAAGAAGCTCAGACAGCTCTAGTCTCCTCTGCAGTAAGACAAGGATGTTTAGGTTGAGTGAATTACAAGATCACCAACTGTTGAAAAACTTTCTGAATTCCCAGCTATCCAAACTAATTCCTGCCATGCATTTGACAGGGGAGCATGGGAAGGGCACTTCCTGACCCCATGCCCCTCTGGCCTTCCTGTTATACCTAAGGGGGGGATTAAAAGGCCAAGACACATGTATGAAAGCACAGGGCCATGGCCCATAGGAGCCTGAAATCACAGAATGCTTTTCCCCAGCCCCATAAACCTCCCCACGACATTAACATGGCTCCAGTACACTTACAGTGGATTTTAGCTGAAAGAGCTTGCAAGACACAAGGAGCGGTCCTTAGGGAAGTCCAAGCCCAAGGGAAACAGATGACTCTGAAGCCTCTGGCACCTCCAGCAAGAACAAACATCAAACAGAAACCAAATCCCAGCCCTGTAAACATAAAATCTCACATTTACGGCCTACTGACCTCAGCTCTTATTACCCAATACACTATGTTAGTTTTTCAACAGAAAATTACACGGCAAGAAAAAAGTCTAAAGAGACAGAGCAAACAACAGAACCAGATTCAGAAATGGAAGTGATTTTGGAATTATTAGATGGGATATTTAAAATAACTATGATTCATATGCTAAGGGCTCTGATGGGAAAAGTGAACAACAAGCAAGAACAGATGGGTAATGTAAGAAGAGGATGGAAACTCTGAGAAGGAATCCAAGGAAATACTAAAAATCAAAAACACTAACAGAAATGAAGCATGTTTTTGATGGGCTCATTAATAGTCTGGACACAGCAAGGAAGGAATTAGTGAGCTTGAAGACAGATCAATAGCAATGTCCCAAACTGAAATGCAAAAAAAAAAAAAAGAAGAAGAAGAAGAAAGAAAAACAGAAAACAGAAGATCCAAGACCTGTGGGACAATTAGAAAGGTGTAATATATACATCACACCAAAAGGAGAAGAAAGAGAGAATGGAACAGAAGAAATATCTAAAGTGATAATGACTGAGAACTTTCAAATTTAATGACAGACCTCAAACCACAAATCAAGAAAGCTGAGAGAACACAGAGCAGGAAAAGTCCCCCCAAATCTGCACTTAGATGTATCATATTCAAACTGCAGAAAACCAAAAACCAGGAACGAATCTTGCAAGAAGCCAGATAAAAAAATTACACCTGCCTTGTAGAGCAACAAAGGTAAGAATTACAGTGGACTTTTTGTCAGGAAAGCAAGTAGGAAGAGATGGAGTGACCATTTAAAGGGGTAAAAGAAAAATCCCACCAACCTAGAATTCTGTATCTGACAAAATTATCCTTCAAAAGTGAAGGAGAAGACTTCCCTGGTGGCGCAGTGGTTAAGAATCCACCTGCCAATGCAGGAGACACGGGTTCAAGCCCTGGTCCGGGAAGATCCCACATGCCGCCGAGCAACTAAGCCCGTGCACCACAACTGCTGAGCCTGCGCTCTAGAGCCCACAAGCCACAGCTACTGAGCTCGCATACTACAACTACTGAAGCCTGCGCTCCACAACAAGAGAAGCCACCGCAATGAGAAGCCTGCACAGTGCAGGAAGAGTGGCCCCTGCTCGCCGCAACTAGAGAAAGCCCGTGTGCAGCAACGAAGACCCAACACAGCCAAAAATAAATAAATAAATTTATTTAAAAAAACCGTGAAGTAAAGGCTTTTTTGGTGTTTGTTTCTCCAAGAAATAAAAATGGAGAGAATTTATCTCCAGCAGACCCGACCTGAAAAAAATGTTAAAAGAAATTCTTTGGGGAGAAGGAAAATGAAATAGGTCAGAAACTCAGATTTACATGAAGAAAGGAAGAGCACTGAAGGAGAAATAAGGGAAAGCAAAATAAATTCTTTTACTTTTCATATGTTTAATTCATCAAAAGGATAACTCTCTCTTTAAATAAGAGTAACAATGTGTTGGATGATTATAGCTTATGTATAAATGCAATGATTGATAGCAGTGTCACAAAGGAGAAAAGGAAGAAATTGGCAACACTGTTATAAGGCCCCTGTAGTAGGTGTGAATCAGTATAATGTTATTTGAAGGTGAATACAGATCAGTTTAAAATGCATGTTGGAAACTCTAATCAACTATACTCCAATTTTAAAAAATAACAAAAAAATTAAAAAATAAAATGTATATTGGAAACTCTAGAGCAACCACTGAAAAAACCTGTAAGAGAAGTATAATTCTTATGCTCAAAGAGGAGATAAAATGGAATCATGCTCAATTAAAACCAGAGGAGGCAGGAAAAGATACGGGAATAAAAAAAGAATAAATGAAAATAATAGAAAAATGTTACAAACATGGTAGATATGGATCATGTTAGTTAGATATGTATCTAACTGTGTCAATTCAACTATATCAATAATCACATTTAAATGAGAATGACCCAAACACCCCAATTAAAAGACAGAGACTGTCAGAGTGGATACAGAGTGGAGAGTCAACTATATGTGGTCTACAAGAAACCCACTTTAAATATAGAGACTCAGGTAGATTAAAAGAAACGGGACGGAGAGAGTTATATCACGCTATAGTAATCAAAAGAAAGCTGGAAGATCAAGAATTAGCTTCAGACAAAACAGACTTCAGAACAAGGAAGATTATCAGGGAAAAAGAGGAGCATTACTTAATGATATAAAGGTCATTCTCCAAGAAGACAGCACAGTCTTTAGTGTGTTTGCATCTAACAACAGAGGGTCAGAATAAACGAGGCAAAACCTGATAGAATTGAGAGGAAAAATACACAAACCAACAATGATAGCTGAAGACTTCAACATCCTCTTTCAGTAACTGACAAACCAAGCCAGCAGAAAGTCAGTAAGGATAGAGTTCAACCGGACAGCACGAACAGTCTATTTGACCTAACTGATCTACAGACGACTTCATCCAAAACAGTAGAACCCAGGTTCTTCTCAAGCTCACATGGAACATCCACCGAGACAGACCACATTCTGGGCTAAAGAACCCACATGGACACATTTAAAGGTGTAGAAATCATCAAAGTATGATCTTGGATCATAGTGGAATTAAATGAGAAATCAGTAACAGAAAAACAGCTGGAAAATGCTCAAATATTGGTATATTTAAGAACACAATTCTAAATATTATATGGTTTAAAGAAGTCTCAATTAAAATTAAAATATATTTTGAACTAAATGAAAATGAAAATACAGCTTGTCAAAATTTGTCATGTGCAGCTAAAACAGTGTTTATGGGGAATTTATATCATTAAATGCATATAATAGAAAAGATGAAAGATCTAAGTATCAATAATCTAAGTTTGCACCGTAGGAAACTGGAGAAACAAGAGCAATTTAAGCCTAAAGCGAACAGAAGAAAGGAAACAATAAAAATTGGGGCATAAATCAATGAAATTGAAAATAGGAAAACAGAGACTTGAAGACGATATTGTTAAGAGAAGGAAAATGACAAGCCACAGACTATAAGAAAATATGTGTCAAACACGTCTCATAAAGGACTTGTATCTGAAATGTATGAAGAAATTTAAAACTCGACAATAAGAAAACAAAAAACCCGATTTCAAAAATGAGCAAAAATCTGAACAAACCTATCATCAAAGAAGATACATGGAAGGCTTACAAGTAAGCATATGAAATAATGCTAAACATTACTGGTCATTACGGAATTGCAAATTAAAACAATCATAAGATACCACGGCACACCTATGACAATGGTTAAGATCCAAAAACTGACAGTGCAAATTGCTGCAGACCAACAGGAACTCTCATGTGTTGCTGGTGGGGATACCAAATGGTACAGCCACTTGGGAAGACAGTTTCGATGTTTCTTACAAAACTAGACAAAGTCTTACAATATGATCCAGCAACCACACTCCTAGGAATCTACCCAACTGATTTGAAAATGTCTGCACATGAATGTTTAAGCCAGCTTTATTCATAATTGCTAAAAACTGAAAGCAACCAAGATATCTATCAATAGGTGAACGGATAAACAGAAACTGTGACACATCTACACAATGGAACATTATTTGGCAGGAAAACGAACAATCA